GGCCGGAGGCCGGGACCATGGAAGCCACACCCAGCAGGGCCGTAACGAACGCCAATGGCGCCGTCGGTTGGACATGCCGAGGACTCCCCTCACGCACCCGGTGAGCACTATCCTCAACTATGCGGAAGAGCAGGACCTTTTCCCCAAGGACCCTCGGTCGGCGAGGGAGATCTACGCCATCCACCAAGGCGGCACTTATTGCCGTTACCACAAAAGCACCTCCCACAATACAGACGATTGTGTCTCGTTAAAGAAGGCTATTGAACTCTTAATTCAAAGGGGTGAGCTCCACCAATTCATCAAAAATGCCCCAAGGAAAAACACCAGGGAGAACACCGATAAAGAAGAAGGGGACATCGCAACGAAGAAACATGAAATCGGGAGGCTCAGCGACGGCGAGGAGTTCGAGGAGCCCCAGTCGAAGAAGCGACATCTCCGCTAATCATGTTCCTCGCCTTCGGCGTTAGTCTCAGCCTTGGGCCCTCGACCTCGAGGCACATTATCATCCCCTCGGCCTAAGAGCCCTCGGCCTTGAGCGGTGAATCTTAACAAAGCCGTTGTCAAACAACGCACCCCTTGTATTCCGCTTATTTATATGAATTTAAGTAAACTACAACACAATACAGACATCTTATCGGCCCCTTCGAGGCAAAATGCCCATGTATGGCCGATGGTGTCTAAAGACGAGAGGCCTGCAAAAGGCCCGCGTTTTTGGAGCGGGACGCTCGCCGCGTCGCCGGCGCGCAACGCACGGCGACAGGCCTGAAAGAATGGCTGAGGTGACGAAATCCCCAAACTTGGGGGTGAAACGCCAATCGTCGGAAACCGACCAAGCCTAGCCCGCGCCGTAAATAGACGACGGGACCCCCCAAGGTAAAGGGACGGTTCAGCGCCGGGGGACTAACAGACGAACCCGCGGACGGATCACTTGGACCCCCTTCCGGCCGAGGCGGGGAAGCAACCCCCTCGGTCGAATCCTGAAAGAAGGAACACACATCGGGAGGACTAACATACGACCTCCTGGCACAATCAAGGGACGGCCCAGCGCCGGGGGACTAACAGACGAACCCCCAGACGGATCACTTGGACCCCCTTCCGGCCGAGGAAGCAACCCCCTCGGTCGAATCCTGAAAGAAGGAACACACATCGGGAGGACTAACATACGACCTCCTGGCACAATCAAGGGACGGCCCAGCGCCGGGGGACTAACAGACGAACCCTCGGACGGATCACTTGGACCCCCTTCCGGCCGAGGAAGCAACACCCTCGGCCGAAGCCTGAAAGAAGTAACACACATCAGGAGGACTAACATACGACCTCCTGGAACAATCAAGGGACGGCCCAGCGCCGGGGGACTAACAGACGAACCTCCGGACGGATCACTTGGACCCCCTTTCGGCCGAGGCGGGGAATCAACCTCCTCGGTCGATGCCTGAAAGAAGGAACATACACCCGAAGGACTCCCGGAACTATCAAGGAAAGGCCCTTGGCCTCAATTCGATTCTACATCACCAATGGCCCTCGGCCTTGGCATGATTCAACGTCAGAACACCCCCCGGTCTCAAAATCAACAATGGCCCTCCGCCTCAACATCAGACGGCCCTCGACCTCAACATGACACTATGTCATAACGGTTTTGGCCTTAGCGTGATCTCACATCACCAACGGCCCTCGGCCTCAGCGTGATCTCACATCACCAACGGCCCTCGGCCTCAGCGTGATTCCACATCACAACGGCCCTCGGCCTCAACGTCAGAACAGCCCTCGGTCTCAACATCAACAACGGCCCTCGACCTCAACATCAGAACAGCCCTCGGTCTCAAAATCAACAATGGCCCTCGGCCTCAACATCAGACGGCCCTCAGCCTTAACATGACTCTATGTCATAACGGTTTTGGCCTTAGCGTGATCTCACATCACCAACGGCCCTCGGCCTCAGCGTGATTCCACATCACAACGGCCCTCGGCCTCAACGTCAGAACAGTCCTCGGTCTCAAAATCAACAACGGCCCTCGGCCTCAACATCAAAACGGCTCTCGGCCTCAACACCAACAACGGCCCTCGACCTCAGCATCAGAATGGCCCTCGGCCTCAACATCAACATCAGCCTTCATCCCTCCGTCATCTTTATTTGATGTCAAGGGCCATCACACAGGCCCCTCGGCCTTCATCCCTCCGACATCTTTATTTGGTGTCGGGGGCTATCATACAGGCCCATCGGCCTTCATCCCTCCGGCATCTTTATTTGATGTCGGGGGCAATCACACAGGTCCCTCGGCCTTCATCCCTACGGTATCTTTATTTGATGTCAGAGGCTATCATACAGGCCCATCGGCCTTCATCCCTCCGACATCTTTATTTGATGTTGAGGGCCATCACACAGGCCATCGGCCTTCAGCCCTCCAACATCTTTATTTGATGTCAGGGGCTATCCTATAAGCCCTCAGCCTTCATCCCTCCGGCATCCTTATTTGATGTCGAGGGCTATCATACAGGCCCCTCGGCCTAGCCTTCATCCCTCCAGCATCTTTATTTGATGTCTGGGCTATCATACAGGCCCTCAGCCTTCCTCCCTCCGGCATCTTTATTTGATGTCGGGGGCAATCACACAGGTCCCTCGGCCTTCATCCCTCTGGCATCTTTATTTGATGCCAGGGGCTGTCATACAAGCCCCTCAGCCTAGCTTTCATCCCTTCGACATCTTTATTTGATGTCAGGGACTATCACACAGGCCCTGGGCCTTCATCCCTCTGGCATATTTATTTGATGTCGGAGGCAATCGCACAGGCCCCTCGGTCTCCATCCCTCCGGCATCTGTATTTGATGCCAGGGGCTCTCACATAGGCTCACCTGGCCTTGCACCCCTCCGTCACCTTTATTTGATAACGGGGGGTCCTTACAAGCTCCTTAGCTTTTTCATGCAGGATCTAAGGCTGATCTTAGATATCCCCTCAGCAGACGGACACAACCGCCGCTTAACAATCAAGGCCGAAGGGTGCACTCATTTTGCTTCATTCTGAGGGCATCCGGTGTACTCTTTTTCCCTCATTAGGATTTTTTCCCACAGGGTTTTTTCCTAATGAGGTTTTTAACGAGGCATCTCCCCATTTTGGAACAAAAGGCGTCACCCCTCGGCGGCTCCTGCTGAAGGCATGCATCACTCTACTCCTGTTTCCCTCGAGAAACTCTCGGCAAAAGGAGTGGGGGACTGGGGGACTCCCCTCGGCAAAACACACAAATGTTAAAAATTTTCTATTTCTCAGCTACAGCAAGCTGAGGCAAGATCACAACGGCAATCTACTCCCATCGACATGATGCTTTCGGCTTACAGAATGCCTCCGGCCACACAATGCCTTCGGCACATGATGCCTCCGGCCACACAATGCCTTCGGCCACATGATGCCTCCGGCCACATGATGCCTTCGGCCACATGATGCCTTCAACCACACAAAGCCTTCAGTCAACAAATGCCCTCAGCAAAGCACACAAATGCAGATCTCTCATTACTTTACAAACTACAAAAAAGAAACACATACGAGCAACACTCTTACACTCCCTTCAGGAAGCTCTCAGCCCTCGACATATGAGGGAATTGAGAAAATGAGACACCCAACAGAACAGGGAAGCCTTCGGGGAAATCACCACAGCTACTCATTTTCCCTCAAGTACCTTTCGGCAAAAGGAGTGGGGGACTCCTGATGGAGTATATGGCTCAGAGACCCCCGGCCCACATACTTCCTCTACTACAATCAGGCCCAACAGACCCAAACGGGCCAAGCCCAGCAAAATGGAGCTCTGAGCAGCCCACAATACGCAAAGGGGTGCCTTCGGCCCTATGGCCGAAGGCTACCAGTGACAAAATCAAGCTCAGAAACATCACAGGAGAACAAGGCTTGAAAACCAAGCCTTCGGCAACTGCAGCCCTCGGCAGGTAGGAGCCCTCGGTTAGAAGAGGCATCACAAGAGAACAAGGCTTGAAAACCAAGCCTTCGGCACCTGCAGCCCTCGGCAGGTAGGAGCCCTCGGTTAGAAGAACCTTCGGCCCAGCACCCTTCAGCCGAAGGCATCCACCTCGACAGAATATCATCTTCACATGCGCCTGGATCACCGTACCAAGTACAAACGTCACATCCAACCACCGCATTTAATGCGGCCACATGCGAGTGCCAGTGCCACCCCGGTCGAGGTGACCCCTCGACCACCAGAAAACTGACACGTGTCCTTATCTGGCATTTATTACTACTATAAATAGCACTCATTTCCCCCATTGTAAACCACGCTTAAGACATATCGAATATACACTCTCTCTCTCTTACTTATTTGCTCTGACTTCTCTCTAGTTATTCTCCGCAATAACCCCTCGGATAAGCTACCCCCGGGTACACTATCCATCATGAGATTTATTCAGAGGAGAGAGAATTAACTGGAACAAAAAATTCTTTACCTAAAAGGGAAAGTGACAAAGTTAGTGAGAAAACCACAAAGGAAAATTAGCAAAGTTTCTAGGAACAGAGGCCCGGAGAACCTGACAACCTGACAGGTAATTGGTCTATAGTAGGAGTTACAATCAAAGAGGCTCGGAGCTGATATATTTAGCTCCTGGTTTAGTTTTTCTTGTTCAAGTCAATTCCCAACATTACGTACTCTTTGGTCATGGCTCCGACAGTCCGACTCCAAACCAGAACCTGACTAAGACTGAGGTTATTTTACCCAAAGACTCCATAAACGCTTTTCCGGGCTTGAACGGGACAAGCAACTGATGAAGGTCGGGCCAGTTAGGGTTGCAATGAAGTGGGTCCATAATCGATCCGTTTCATATTCCTGTTCTGGATTTTTAACTCAATTTTCCTGGTCAACCAGTATTAATACCCATTTCAGCTAAGGCTCTTCCGGTTTTCAGACCCAAACTGGCCCGTGACAGCCCTTACCAGTTACCACTACGCACGTGATTGTGTATTGATATGATTAAGAGATAAGGCAGAAGAAAAGGATGCATATGTGATTAACAATTAGTTAAATTACTATTTAGTACATGTGATTGGTGCAGGACACATAGATCAATCAGATTTTCATATACCAATATCATATGCACAGCTGCTTCAAAACATGGGAAAGCAATCACTAGGGGAAGACAATGAGTCTAGGGACTTCATTATTCCAGGAAGCAAATTCATACTAAATGCCTAAACCTGGAATGAATAGTCACTCCATGAGCCACGCAAGAAATCAATACTTCCTTTTCCTTATCTTGAAACTGGTTGAACGGATGACATTGTCATCAGCATTCAGCATCTCCTTAAGTTCTTCTAGGGACTCTGGTTTGGTAAAATATGTGAACAAGATATAGATTCCATCAAAGTATATGTTGGTCTCTCCTGCTTTGTTTTTCTTCTTAATACCATAAGCAAGAGGAACAATCCCTCGATTGAACACCTCCACATACACACCACCCCCAGCAACAAGCAACTACAAGAAACAAATAGAAACAGATTGATAAACAATGTTCGGAAAACCCAGCCATGGCCAAAACCTCCAAGGACTCCGTATAATTATGCCCAAAAGATGATACTCAATAATAACGTGATTAAGGAATTGGGTACTCCATATTACTTTTAGAATGAATTAAACATGCCTTATTGAGAAAGATGTGAAAGTAAATAATTTAGGTGGTGCTGTCTTTACCCTTTTCTCCTTATTACTTATTCTAACTGACCAGACCCGATTACACCAAAAAGATTTACTAGACTAAACCAAACCAGAAATATTCAAACAAAAGGGTGATGTCGGGTCTAATGACACCATTATTTTTATAATGGTGTCATCCCACTATGCAAATGAAAGGTGATGATGAGATCAAGTGAACAATACGTCAATACGACTCCATATGAAAGTCATAAGACTCCCCAAACTTAATCCTGTATTAATTGGTAACATTTTTAACAATGACGTATATACTTAATTTGAAACGTAGTAATTGACTCATCGATTTGCTGGTTTTGGAACATTCTAAAGAATCAGATATTTAAGTGCTTGCAGCTTATTATGTCCAATTTTCAACTTTCAGTTAATGATACTAGAACAATCGACTGATGCTTAAATATCTAAATATAAGCTCCATCACAAGCAAATGAGTATTATCATCACCTTCTTATTATCCAATAAGGTGCGAAAGAATCAATTCTAATATAGATGCGTGTGTAATACTGTCATTTCAGTATTTCACCATACAGATAAACGTAATGAAAAAACTCTTAATGTTTCAGATTTCAATTGGATTTGAGGGTTCTTTTATCTCACGGATCAAATTGATTTGTTCGAGTCAAGTTACCAGCCTACCATAATGTCCAACTAAACATATACTCCGTAATGTTTAGTTATACGCATAAGGCTACATGTCGTATCTACATATGACAGGGAATAAAGAACAAGATAATATACGAAAGTAAGGCTACATTTAGCCTAGCAGTGGTTTACAAGCGATTTAAGAGAATCTAAAAACTGAAAGTTGTATGTTTGGTCTGTTTTAGAAGGTGCTTTTACTAAAAACAACTTCTAAATGCTCTTTTTTAAAACTATCCATTATAAAAAATATCCTTACCTATTTTTAAAAAACAATTGTTACTCTTCAAGATTTAATAAAAGATTTATAATTAAATAGGTTAAATACCCAACTGTGTTTGCTCAATAACAATTATATTTAAAACACTCTTGTTTAATTTGCATTCGCTCAAACAACTTTTCCACTATTAGGCCAAACAGTGCCTGAGGTTTACAGCTAGAAAAGAAAAAAATGGTCAGGTAGACTGAAGATAAGCTATTGAAAATTCTAGATTAGTGTTATCAGCCAACATACTAGACCTTGTCCACGGTCTATAATGAAACGATAGGAAGAGACCAATAATCTAACCTCCTAAACCTAGGCAGAAATGGGGTAACGCGTGAATTAATAAGCACAAAAGTTATTAGTTATTACTCCAAAGACAATTTACATTTCTAACTAATAAGACTTAAATGGGATAAAGACGAGTCTTAATCACAACAGGAAAGAAAAATATAAAGTTCCAACTTATCATTGACTGAAAATAATTAATAATACTAATAATACAAAATGACTTATAAGTTGGTCTTCACTTCTAAGCTTCCATTTGGACCCTTCTACTTCTAGTGGCAGTATAGAGCCTGTTTACAGGCTCATCCATAATGATTAGCGGATAAGTATTAAAGAACATGGATTACTTGATTAAAACAATGTTCATTTACATGTATTGTTTTATACATTCAAACGATGAATGTTTAAAAATGGAGTGAAAGTAATGAAAACTTTATTTTAAGCAATGAAGACAGATCAAGACACACACTTTCTGTCTATGAAAGTAAAAAATGGAGTCATAAGATGTGGGTGAACTTGTGCAAACTTTTAGAGTGAAAGACTGAAGGGCATCCCCAACACTTAGCAAGAAAACACTGTCAAAGTGTCAGGACTTAACTTTTTTTAAAGTCTCATACTCTCATTATATGTAAAGTGTGGGCGTATGCTACCTCAACTCATTGCGTTTTCAAACAGAATTTAAGTTGGTGTATGTTTTTCATTTTTCAATTATGTCACATAGGTAAGGTTCATACTCCCTCTGTCCCTATTCAAAAGTCCCCTTTTGAATTAGACACCATTTAAGGAAAAGACGCTGGTTGGCACTGTTTGGCACTGTTTTGTTTACCAAATAAGGAAAGGGGACTTTTTTAGGGATGGCCCGAAAAGGAAAGTGGGATGTTTACTTGGGGAAGGAGGGAGTACTGCAGAGTATAAGCATTATGTCATGTACATTCTAAAGAACCAATCTTTAATCCCCTAAATGGCTAAATCACTAGATGTGATATAAAGAGCCTAATGTATACTATATACGTAGCGTAATCTAGATAAGGCCTGGAAAGATATACAAAATCTAATTATTCTGTGGAATAAATTTAATAAAAAAGTTGTGGAACATGTTTTGTATCTAAACTGAAGAAGCCCAAAAGACACATATATAGGTTATAAAGTGTTATATCTCTGTATCTCCATGTCTCCATAACTGTTGGTGCAGTTCTAAAGTTAGTTACTGAAGTTGTGAGAAGTTACATGTTACGGAGTATTGGTTTTAGGCTCTCAAGCACCTATACTAAATTGATTAAGGGATTACCCAATCATCCAAAGAAAAGATTCATTGATGTATTCATGTAAAGGAATTTGCAATATCCTCCATTACCGATAATAACGGTTAAAGCATTCCCTTTAATACTCTCTTTAGGAGGGGGCATGAAAAAGAATTACCAGTGGGGGGAACCCTAGCAGCTACTGCATATGATACAATGGAAAAAGTAAACTAAGCTACTGATACTAATGGATAGAGGAAAACTAACCCTAATTGGCAAATTAAAATAACAATTCCAACAAGCTACATTACTAACATTGCAACCGAATGAACTAGATTAAATAGTAATACAACTACTTCAATTGCCAGCATAGCCAACATTCTGTATTCAAAATTTTTTACCTAAAGAGGAGTAGTTGACTGCAAAAGTGCAATATAAACTATCAATCTTGACACACTATTTATATGGAGTTTTGATCATCTGATTATGAAAAATCTGAAATTGGGAGCCAAAGAAGCTCTCTCTTTTATGCTACTAATGTTTTACACACTCATATCGATAAGCATACTGCGATTCAAATAAATGTATAAATTGAACAAAGAAGGGAAGCGTTTAGTTGAATACCTCTTCATATTTTTGGATGAGTGCTAACCGTTCATTCTCAGACATGTCGGGCCTCAAAACCGCCATTGTTTCATACTGCCTCAGCCCTGGAGGACACTGGGGCTCCTCTCTATCTTCCATATCGGAAATGCCCCAACCGGGAGTAGATGGTGGCTCGTAATCATCTTCGAACTCGGAATCGAATAATGAACCCGAGAATTCAAAAGTCTGTTGGGCATTGGCGAGCATCTCAGAATGCTTGTTCCTCTTCGTGTGGAGCAGCAGAGGCCTTAAGGCACTGGGGAATATGTTGAAGGCGGTGAGGGAAGGAGACGAAGAGCACGATACCGGTGTCTTGGATAAGCGGGACGTTGACAGGGTAGGGATTATAGTAGGAGAAGAAGCAGCCATTGTAGCCGGAGGCGATGAAAGGAAAGACTGGGAAAGAGTGGATAAAGCAGTGCGGTTTTGGTCCTAAACGGCTAAAAGATACTCGTAATTAACAGATCTTTCCTGCGACGAAGCGTAGACAAACAAACATTGTGTGGTTGAAAGAAGAAACGGGAAAGTGGATGACTTCAAAATGCATTAGGGAGCTAGGGCTCTAATCTAACCATACCATCATCAATTAATTAATTCATTAGTCATGGCCATAAATTACTCACTCCTTCTCCCAGAAGATTGGATAGTTTGTAATAACCAGGTGAAAAGTTGTTTTATGAATTTTTTAGTAGTTGTTATCTTTTTAGTGACTCAAATGATTTTAAAAGAAAAAGACGATAGTTGTTTGATAAAAAGCTAACTGTATGATTAAGTCATTTTGGTATACAAGTTATTGCAATTAAAAAAATATTTTTTATTTTTACAAAAGCTCTTATAAATTGTCATATCAAATACGTAGTAACTAGAATCTTTTAAATACTTTTAAATAATACAAAAGCTAGAAGGTAGAAGTTTATGTCTACCAAACAAGCACTATATCTTTCTTTTGGGGTATGTTTCACTAAAATTGTCGCATACTTCGTTCATATTTAAAAGATCACTACATTAGACTTTGGTACAATATTTAAGGGGAAAATAGTATGAGTTATGAATAGTGTAGAAAAGATAGGAGAAATTTTTAAAATGTAAAAAGAAAAAAGATAAAAAGTAGAAAAAAAAAGAGTAATTGAGTATTTTTTAAAATGAAAAAAAATACATAATGTTGACATCATGTATAAATAATACCCAAAAAATACAATCTTGGTTTGATAGTTTGTATAAATAATACCCAAATACAATCTTGGTTTGATAGTTTATAAATTCACTTCCTCTCTTAGAAATTGACATATTAGCATAAATAACCTATAATTATTGTTGGGGTAATGGCCCAACAAGGGCAGGCTCATCAACCCATAAGGGCCTCTACGAACGTCCCCAGAAGGCCCACGAGGACCTCCTACGAACGTCCTGTTGGAGGCCCAAGACGATGGGTTACCTGCTCGCTGGTTCAGAAAGAGATTCGTCCCGAAGAGGGTCAAGCTTCAGCACCAAGGGTCAGGGACGTATGCACCCTATTGTCAGCAGGTATCCTGGCCCAAGAATAGCTCAAGATGCTCGTCTTGCGGGACCCCGGGTCCAGCAGGAAACAGGAGGCAAGCGCATCGGGACGAATGTCCCCATCCCTTGGGTGCATGCCAAGACTCCAGCAGGAGACATGAGCCAAGTACCGGGGGACGAACGTCTCCACCCCTTGCCAGGATGCCAAGACTCCAACAGGAGACAGGAGCCAAGTGCCTGGGGACGAACGTCCCCACCCCTTGGCAAGATGTTGAAACTCCGGCAGGAGACAGGAAGCAAGTGCATGGGAATGAACGTCCTCATCCCTAGGAGGGAAACCAAGATCTTGGCGGGAAGCGCATTTAATGCAGAAGATTTGGTGGTTGGGATCGTGCCGTCCACAGCCAGTCACGTCAACGCATCCAACTACCCCTTGGCAGTATAAATAGAGGCATTTATTTCACTGTAAAGAGTTCGCATTTTAGCACTCTAGCATCATATCAATTGTATCAGCCCATAGCCTAGCATTGTATGAACGGCCTCTCGACTATGTAATCGTTTCAGTGAATAAACACTCCTTATTGGGACTTCCTTGCTCATTTCTTCATCTAACTTACTAAATCATCCACTCGAGACCCTTAGGTTACGTGTTGGGCCTACGGGTTGAAGGAATAACAACTAAGGAAGGAAGCATGACATTTCCATCAGAAAAAACGGGGTATTTATAGGCTTCACCGTGGTTCCCCCCCCCCCCCCCCCCCCCCAACCCAGGAGGAACACGTGACAAACCATGTTTGGTAGATTCTACGGCGGACACAGCGCTTCGGTACCCTTGTCGACCAAATACACATGTTTGGGACATAACAAAAAGACGGACGTCGACATGACCATCAGATCATAATCCCTACGAATCATGTCGTACGGACCGTCATCGAGAGAGGAAAAAATGTCGTACCTAAGGGAGCTAAGCACGGGACGCTCGAGAGTGCCTGGATGGTCAGGGAACCCCTCAAGTCTGAGACGCCGCCCAGCTGCAACTTCTCGACAGAATCCTTCAGTTCTGCGGTCAGCTCCGGTGGTTTGATTTTGGGGGGGAATCCATTCCACCTCATGGGGAGCCGGTCATCCGAGTAATGCAAGAAGAGGAAGCGGGTTTTCCAGTCATGGTTGGAGGTCAGAGCGCCGTAAAAAACTTCAGGTGAGGATGGGCGGCCACACTCAGGAATCCATCAGCATTCTGGGGAGCAACCTGGAAGAAATGGTGGAAGAGATCCAGGCTCGGAGTCAACCCCTTTTTCTGGCAACAGATAATGAATGCAGAGACGAGCCGGTACGAGTTCGGCATGAACTAGGCCGGGATGACAATGAAACAACGAAAGAAATCAAGGTAGAACTGGTGAAGAGGGAAGCGCAGTCCGGCCTTGATGGAATTCATGTGCACCATAATCATCCCTGGGCATATCCTGAAGAGATTATCCGCACTGCGGAGGCTATAGGTGAACGGCGGGGGAAAGAGGGTCTGCAGCTCCTTTAAAGCCCTGCTTGAGAAGGCTTGCTCAATCCCGGCAACGTTGTGTATAAGCATGATGTGTTGGGGAATGTCCACAGGTACACCTATATCAAACATCTGAAGATCATCCCCTTCGACGGCCTCATCTACAGAGTCGTAGTCGGCAGAGCGATTTGCCCCCAGATTTGGTTGAGGCCACACCATCTGAGCGATTCCAGGAGCAACGTCCACATCAGCTTCTTCTCCCGCACCTCCGGGAACAACTCTGTCCGCCACGACATGTCTCACCATTGTGGAGGCGCCGGAATGACCAGAAATACCCGCTTCTCCCGAGGAACGGGACCCAGAATCCGAAGCAGAGGAGGAGCCGATGGAAGAACCAGATCCGGAGCCCGATTCAGAGGATATCTCCATGGAGCACGCCATGGGAGGAGCTAAAAGAAAAGGGAAGAAGAGATCAAAGTTAAAATTACCTTACAACTTGGAAACGCATGCGGGCTAGGGAACAGGAGAGCACTTGCAGAAGAACGCTGAAACAATCGAGGGAAAAAAGCAGAGGATTGAAAACCCTAATCTCGATAGGAAATCCAGTATTTAAAGGAGGAAACTAACGCCTCTCCACTTACCAACCCGTGTGTGACTCGTGGCGAGGAGCGTACCTATGGACACGTGTCGGGTGGGAGCGAACAGACGCGTAATGATTAGCACTCATCGGAAGTTGAATCGGCCTGCTTAACCGTCACCTATAGCCCCGTGAACAGTAGCAAGAAAGACAATCGTCACGTCAAGGACGTCGGCTTAGGGCGACACGGCGGGAGCATTTTTACTTCCTTATGTCTCGTCCACGCTCTGAACATCAGAAGTGGGGGACTTATGTTAGGTTAATGGCCCAACAAGGGCCGGCCCATCAACCCATAAGGGCCTCCTACGAACGTACCCAGAAGGCCCACAAGGACCTCATACGAACGTCCTGTTGGAGGCCCAAGACGATGGGTTACTTGCCCGCTGGTTCGGAAAGAGGTTCGTCCCGAAGAGGGTCAAGCATCAGCACCAAGGGTCAGGGGACGTACGTACCCTATTGTTAGCAAGTATCCTGGACCAAGAATAGCTCAAGATGCTCGTGTTGCGGGACCCCGGGTCCAGCAGGAAACAGAAGGCAAGTGCATGGGGACGAACGTCCCCATCCCTTGGGTGCATGCCAAGACTCCAGCAGGAGATAGGAGCCAAGTGACGGGGGAAGAACGTCCCCACCCCTTGGCAAGATGCCAAGACTCCAACAGGAGACACGAGCCAACTGCCTGGGGACGAACGTCCCCACCCCTTGGCAGGATGCCAAAACTCCGGCAGAAGACAGGAAGCAAGCGCATGGAGACGAACGTCCCCATCCCTTGGCGGGAAACTAAGATCTTGGCGGGAAGCGCATTTAATGCAGAAGATTTGGTGGTTGGGATCGTGCTGTCCACAGCCAACCACGTCAACGCATCCAACCAGCCCTTGACATTATAAGGGGGTGTTTGGAACTCATTCTGCTTCTTTTTTAAAGCAAAAGCAGAATCAGAATCAGTTTTCAGAAGTTGGTCACCCCCAACTTCTAAAAAACTGATTGTAGGAGTAAATTAGAGCACCAGAATCACTTCTAAACTTTTACCCAAACACACTCCAACTTCTGCTTCTGCTCTCTGAAGGAGCAGAAGCAGTTTTAAGAATCAAATCCAAACACCCCCTAAATAGAGGCATTTATTTCAGTGTAAAAGGTTCACATTTTAGCACTCTAGCATCATATCAATTATATTAGCACATAGCCTAGCATTGTACGAACGGCCTCTCGGCTCTGTAATCGTTTGAGTGAGTAAACACTCTTTATTGGGCCTTCCTTGCTCGTTTCTTCATCTAACTTACTAAACTATCCACTCGAGACCCTTAGGTTACGTGTTGGGCCTACGGGTTGAAGGAATAAACCTCAACAATTATAATAAAACCATATCATAAAAAAATACAAAATCTCAATAAAATATGGCATCCTATTATGACAAATAAATTACTAACATCAAACGTATTTGCGATAGTGATACATAGATATAATTTGCCCACAATGAATTGAATTATTATTTATTCTATTAAATTACAATACAATTTTATGAAAACAAAAATAGTAGTGATATGCACTAGTTTATAGTGCATAAATGTATGTTTTTGTATTAACTTTGTATGGATTTTCTTTGCTCTTTAGTTAGTTTGTAAACATTTGTTTTATGTTGTTTGTAATTGTTTTTTTGCTATCATTTATAGTTGTAGAATAGTAGTAGTGTTTTTAGCAAGGAAAGGGAGAAAAGCTGAAGATAAAAATGGTCAGGAGCGCTAACCCGGTCGGGTCATGCACTACACCCGGTCGGGTCTGAGTTGAGAACTAGATCCCTGAGAAAATAGCTAGACCCGGTCGGGTCCCCTACTTGACCCGGTCGGGTCGGATGTGACCCGGAACACCAGAACGTGCCAAGGATCACCCGAATAAAGAATATCTGATTTTTGAGTCAAACCCGGTCGGGTCCCCTACTTGACCCGGTC